AAAAATACTATTTAAACTGGGTAATTTTGTGTATAAAACATAAAAATAAGGATTGAGGAAGGGATTTGGGAGCTCCTTTACCTGCAGGTTCACCATCAGCTGAGAGATGGAGATTTGGGTTTGGGCGGGTTTATTTTAATTAAATTTTAAAAAATACTATTTAAACTGGGTAGTTTTGTGTACAAAACATGAAAATGATTTATATTTTGTTTTATTTTTGTTTTCACCTCCACAAATTTCCATCACCACAAAGCAAACTTCTACAAATTTACCTCACAACTAACAACAAAAATCAAGCAGAAATTCAACAGCTGAGAGATGGAGATTTGTGTTTGGGCGAGTTTATTTTAATTAAATTAACAAAAATTCTATTTAAACTGGGTAATTTTGTGTATAAAACATGAAAATAAGGAGTGAGGAAGGGATTTGAGAGCTCCTTTACCTGCAGGGTCTGCTCTGTTCCAGCAGGTTCACCATCAGCTGAGAGATGGAGATTTGTGTTTGGGCGAATTAATTTTAATTAAATTCACAAAAATACTATTTAAACTGGGTAGTTTTGTGTATAAAACATGAAAATAATTTATATTTTATTTTTATTTCCATCACCACAAAGCAAACTTCTACAAATTTAGCTCACAACTAACAACAAAAATCAATCAGAAATTCAACGGCTGCAGCTGAAAGGTGGAGATTTGTGTTTGGGCGAATTTATTTTAATTAAATTCACAAAAATTCTATTTAAACTGGGTAATTTTGTGTACAAAACATGGAAATGATTTATATTTTGTTTTATTTTTTATTTTCACCTCCACATTTCCATCACCACAAGGAAAATCTGTACAAATTTACCTCACAACTAACAACAAAAATCCAGCAGAAATTCAACGGCTGCAGCTGAGAGATGGAGATTTGTGTTTGGGTGGGTTTATTTTAATTAAATTTAAAAAAATACTATTTAAACTGGGTAATTTTGTGTACAAAATTTGGAAACAAGGATTGAGGAAGGGATTTGGGAGCTCCTTTACCTGCAGGGTCTGCTCTGTTCCAGCAGGGTCACCATCAGCTGAGAGATGGAGATTTGTGTTTGGGCGGGTTTATTTTAATTAAATTTTAAAAAATTCTATTTTAACTGGGTAATTTTGTGTACAAAATTTGGAAATAAGGATTGAGGAAGGGATTTGGGAGCTCTTTTACCTGCAGGGTCCTGCGTTTGTTGTCCTCTGTGTGGATCCAAGCTCGCAGGGTGAGCTCGGTGATGAAAATCTGAGCGGCTTTTGCAAACAGCACAGGGGCCTCTGCACTGATCATCTGGGGAAAAATCAAATTATTCTCAATTTTAACACTCAATTCTAATGGTAAAACG